ATTGCTTTATTACCTATTCAGGTTTTAAATCATGTTTTTAAAAAGTGACTAAGTAACTAATTACTTTTGAAAATAAGTAATCAGTAAAGTAACAGGATTAATTTTTTGGGGAAATAATCAATAATTAGTTACCGATTACTTTTTTCAAGTAGCTTGACCAACACTGGTTGTCACCAACCAGAAACGGGAGCTGGAAGCATGTAAATATAATAATAACCACTACAGCCAAAAAGAGTGCCTGACGAGCCCCGTTGTAAGTAAGCTATTAACACTTGACTGTACACTGTGTTCGTGTTTTCCTCCGAAACAATAAGTTGCTTTGGAGCAGCCTTTCTCTGTCTCTCGCTAGCAAAGTTGACCCAGTTTTTGGCTACGAGCCCGACACGGAACCCGTAGCCAAAAACTTACTACGGTCTGAGCTGCGGACCTGTGAATGATGGTTTTTTTGTTTGTTTTTTTATCAGTGGAAAGAAATTTGTTTTCTGTGAAGAGAATAGGGTTAGGATGTGGTTTGAACTTTTAGCGTGTATTTGTGGTTTTCTTGCTTCTGACTCGGAGAGAGAGGCAAAAAGAAAGTGAGAAGAGAGTGTCATCTTTCTTACATTTTTCTTGTCCTGAACTAAAGACCCCCTAAAGATCCTCTAATCACATGAGCCATGGTGTGAAAATGGGTGTAGGTCACAATCAGCCAAGGTTTCGGGTGAGCTCATTGTGAAACCTGGCCCCACCCTATCGTGTGATTTCCTGAGGTCAGATGGCCCAGGATGTGAGTGGGCGTTATGGCATCTGGGAAGGGATCTCACACCTGGATTATAGATGGCAGACAGTTGGTGTCGTAAACCCCCGCTTTTGTTCAAAGATGGTCTCTCACAGTGAACGTAAATGGCTTCTTTTACTCCTCTTTTCAAACCATCTGTCCTCCCAAAATATGTACATTGGGATCCTCGAAAGAGTGACCTTTGTCCTTTAGATGCAGATGGACTGCTGAGTCTTGTCCTGTGGAGGTGGCTCTTCTATGTTGTGCCATGCGCTTATGAAGTGGCTGTTTGGGCTCTCCGATGTAGAGGTCTGGGCATTCCTCGCTGCACTGTACAGCATACACCACATTGTTAAGTTTGTGTTTAGAATTTTTGTCTTTGGGATGAACCAGTTTCTGTCTGAGTGTGTTGCTGGCTCTGAAGTACACCGGGATGTCGTGCTTGGAGAAGATTCTCCTGAGTTTTTCTGATACACCGGCTACATAGGGGATGACAATGTTGTTGTGTTTGTCTTTCTTATCCTCCCTAGTGGGTGTCTGATCTTCTTTTCTGTGCCTCTTTGCTGACTTGATGAAAGCCCATCTAGGATAACTGCATGTTTTAAGTGCTTCCTTTACATGTGTGTGTTCCTTCTTTTTCCCTTCAGGCTTAGAGGGAACATTCTCTGCCCGGGTCCTGATTACTCCAAGTTTGTGTTGCAGAGGGTGGTGGGAGTCAAAGAGGAGGTACTGGTCCGTGTGTGTGGGTCAGCATATTTCACAAAATTGTTGCTTGGATGGACAGGCCAGCAATCATACCTATAAAAAGAGTAGAGAAGTGGACTGAGCACAGCCCTGGGGTACACCAGTGCTCAGACTCAGTGTTGTGGATTTTATTATGACATATATACCTGTATACACTAGACATGTAATCATAGTTGCTTTCATAAATTGTGTGTATCATATATACTCATATAGACTATGCATATTTACAGCGAAGTGTTTATAGAGTGGAGGCACTTTGTTAAACATTTCCTGTATGTTCAAATCACATGACCCATATATTTAGGTCATATATATCTCCCACTATATTATTGAAAAAGTTGTGGCACTTGTTGTATGAGCACATGTTGATTAATATCAATGGCCAACTGTGACTAGTCCAACAAAGGGTTAATTCAGCTTGGCACTTCTAAAGGATGTGCATAGGACCCTTCTCAGCATGCAGCTGCATTTAACTGTGCAGCAGAAGCATGCAGCGGTGTTTAACAGGATTTGGCCTTTAAATGGCTGTACAAAAGATGGCTGTAAAGCAAAGGCCTGCAGCCCTTTCTGGGGCTGTAAGATAAAAGCATACAGCCCCTTAAATGGCTGTAACACAAAAGCATGAATGATTGTAAAGCTGAAGTGTACAGCCCTTTTAATATCTATATAAGACAAAAAACCTGGCCTTTACAGGGCATGTACCAGGGATTCTAGTTCTCGCCTCAAACACTAGGCGAACAAGTAAACCCCCACTCAGCATGGATAGCAGTTTACGTCTGGCATGCAGGCCCAACAATATTGTTGAATGGATTAACTGATTAACTGCATTTCTGCAGACTTTCAGACTCACTTTGGCCATGAAACTGTCAAAGGGACCCAGTGCAATGATGGATGAGAGACTGGTTTGCAAGTTATGGTGTAGGGTCGTGTATATCATAAGTGGAAGATGAAAAGATACCCAACGACAGGAGGGGGGATCACTGTCCCTGTATAAGATGACTCTGATATGCACTGGGGCTCTCTCTTTTTTCCCTGCTGCTTCTTTCCTGTCTGTCTTTGTGTGTGTTTTCTGTTTGTGCTTTAAGGCTTGCACTCCGGGGTTGCTTCGCTCTTTGTTTGCTTGCTTTCTATGTGATATTTCTGCTTTTAAATGTACTGTTCTGCTGTTCATATGACAATGTTTAATAAACCCTGTTCTAAGAATTCTATGCATTTTCCAGAGAATCATTATGAGTGATTTGATTTTAATTGGATGTGAAAAGTTTGGCCTCCACAGCGTCGGTGGGAGGTTATCATGTTGGCTTCAAAATTTGCGACCCAACACCAGAGGATATGTGATCACTGACTTTCACTGTGGTGGATCCATAAACCGATGCCATAAGAGTGTCAGCACAGAACCTCGTGAAACCCCATGATGAACTTTTTGTGTTTAAGTTCTATGAAACAACTGGAATCTGTCTGAAAGGTTTAAATGCAGAGGATTTCTGTACAGGAATAAACAAAGAGCTGCTTCACATCAAACACTATGTGACATGTTTCAACCATTGGGAAGATTTGGCAGAGTAAAAGTTCAGCTTCTATACCAACACTGAGGAGCAACAGTGCATTAATGCTGTCAGGTAGGTTTATGTGGTCAGAACAATTGCAATGTGCATAGACCAGATAACAACCAGATAACAAAGCAGACTCACAACATAATGTACCACAATAAGTTTCTTCCTTCATGTTGAGACTCGCTGACTTGATTGGGTCTCTTCCATTTGTTTATCTCTTGTATTTTTCTTATTCTGTACAGTTTCAGAGCTTTTATCTTGTTAAAGTACTGAATGCCACGTTGTCACCTTGAGCACCCATGAGCGCTCACTACAGAGCCTCCCAGTTTGCATGAAACTTTGATATTTATAACAGTAGATCAGTAAGGAAGTGCACCTGTTACAGAAACCATAAACAACTGCCTGCTTTGAACCATT